TATACTACTTTGTATGGTAGAACTTAATAAAAAAATAGAGATTAAGGACATGTCTGATGCAACTTGTTGGAACTTTTGTTTTTTTTTTTTTTTTACTATTCATGAGTGATAAGTTTAAATTTTTATTAGAAGGAAAATTGAAAAGTTGCTTTTAAAAATAGGAAAAATGAGTGAAAAGTGAGTGAAAAAAAAGTTTATGAAAAGCAAAAGTTTAAGGTTTTTAAGCTTTTATTGTTTAGGGTCTTTTTAATGTTAAAAAAAAGTTTTAAAATGTAAATTTTTAAAAAGAAAATTTAAATTTATGAAAAATGAATAATGTCAAAAAGCTAAAACTCTTAGAAGCTAACCCAAACATGCCCTTTATTTCTTATCATTTGACATTAGCTATATCAGTATGTATTTACATACAACTTACCACCAATTAGGTCTAATGTTCTTTAAGATTTCTCAATTGTTAAAAGCTGAGACTTTTAAGTTCAAAGACTAATGGAATCAGTTGAGTGTAATACTCTGAAATTTTTGTGCATTTATGTTATTTAAAAGGAAACTTTGTTGAAAATATTTTAGGTTGAGGACTTAAAAGGAATATTTTTTTTGTACATAAAAGAATTAGCTACTTGATAATATAAAGGTTTGAACCTCTGACTTTGATCCCAAATTATGATTGTTAAATTAATGGGTACCAACCCTATTAAGCTCTTGTTGGTGCAGACTTAAAAGAAATTTGGTATGAGTTGGATTACATAAAAAGTAGAAATTTGATTTGGTTTAGGATTGGTAATTAAGAGACCCAGGTTGTACTTTTTATAAAATAAATAAATAAATAAAACCTACTAATGCTAATCTGTTTTTTAATTTCCATGTAGTAATGATTAAAATAAAGGATATCAATAACATTAAAAGTATGAAAAAAAAAAAATTAACAACCAAACTTAAAAAAAAAATTAATTCGAAACAAATTTAAAATCTAAAAAGTAACAATTATTTTGGGACAAATTGAGTATTAACTCAAAATTAATATTAAAATAACCATTAATTACTAACAAGTAAACTCAATATTATTACTAATGACTAATTAAATAAACACATTACCAAAATTTCGAATATATTTCTTAACATATTAAAGTAACTAATTACTAATAACTAAAAATTAAATAAAAAAAAAGGAGTAATCACTAAAAGTCAAAGCAAGACCTTTTAGTTTACATTTTAATAGAGTTAGCAAAGAAGATATGGAAAGTTAAAAGGTAGAATACCTAAATTCACTTTCAAAGTATAGTGACAAGAATGGATTCATCATCGAACAAAAAACGGAGATAAATCAACCCATGAAGTTTTTGATTTAGACAAATCACCCCAAATTTAACGTGTGACGTCAATAATCCATTAATAATGAACTTATTAGCAACATAACAAATTAACGAAATACTAACATCACATGTTAAATTTGAAATGATTTGTCAAAGTCAAAAAATTTATAGGTGGATTTATCTCCATTTTTTATTCGTAAATGGATCTGTATCTACCACTATACTTTGAAATTGGATTTGGATATTTTGTAAGTTAAAATACATTAACAGTGGTTGATGGAAAGGATCATTGATGCACATTTTCTTTATTTATACAAAGTATTATTTGATACAAATAAAAAATTTGGATATTTTTTACCCTTTTTAAAAGTCTAAGAATTTTATTGACATTAAACCGAAGTAAAAACAAATTTATTTTTTTAATCTCCACCACAGAGCCTCAATCAACTCATAATAAGCTAACTTTATTTGTCAAGAAGCTAGTAAAGAAGAATTACTTTGCCCTGAAGGTAAATTAAAAACCTATCCTCGCTACTTTTTTGGCTATTTCTTAATTTAATTTTCAGTTAGAGATTAAAGTTAGAATACGCTGTAGAGATTATATTTTTAATATAAGCTGTTCATGCAAGTTTCTTTTTTGTGCACTTAGAGAACTCAAAATTTTTTTTTTTTCTATGTACTTATAAAACTCCTTAGATTATGTTAGGAGAAAAAGAGTTATGGATGCATAAAGAATGTTTTATTATGTTTACTTTGTGATTTCGTTATTATTGATAACATTTAAACATTTTAACTTGATTGAATAAATCGATCTCTTCTTTTTCTGTAATACACTCAAACCAAACAATGTACAATTGTTAAGAGTTTAGTATTTATTAGTCAAACTTCAAAAAAAATTAATAAAAAAATAATCTTAAACTAAGCCATTTTATTCAAATCTCATTAAAAATGACTAAACTAAGGTTTCCGAATGAACAAGTCCTGATTCTTGAGTACACCTTTCAGATACCAAACGGAAAACAATTGGAATATATTACCCTAATGCTGAATTACAATCGACATCATTCACATTGCCAGGTCCATTCAAAGATCCAGACAAAAATCACTTGAAACATGCATTAAATTGAGCTTAAAAGCTTTAAAAAACATAATCGATAACTAGAATTCAAGCATTTACCTTACGCCACACTAAATCCAAATTGAAACAGAGTTCAAAGAACGAACTCAAACTCAATTCAGGTGAGTTTGTCCACTGCCAACATCCAGTTCTTTGAGACTTGCTCTGACGATCGCCCTATAATCGCTTTCAAGGAGTTTTGCTTCACCACACTAGCCACCTTGAGCTTAACGTCTCCGAGATTACCCTCTCATCGGGTTCTCTGAGGAACTCACATCGGATTCCATGGATTGGGAACCCATGGTTGAACCCACATCAAGTTCTCTGGGGACCCATGGAGAACCAATGTGGGTTATTGTTGAAATTTAAAAAAAAAAAAAAAAAAAAAAAAAAGGGAGAGAAGATAGAGATGAGGGAAGAAGAGTGAGGAGAGGGAGAGAGGAATGATGAAAGATTTTTCTTCTTTGCTTTTTTTTTTTTTAACATTCATGAGAATTTTTTTTTCTTTGCTTAAAATGAAAAAGTTAAATTATTTAAATTATTTGGAAAAAAAATTAAACACCTTGGCATGCCATGGTAGATTAAGTTGCTAATGTGTAGAGTGACATGGTGATTTTAGACGAAAGGGTATCAAACATGTGAGTCTGGTGACTTTTTTCCATTAATTTGGGCACAAATTCTCAAATTCTCAAATTCGTGCGGTTAAGGAGCCTAAAGTTACATTACAAAGTTAAAGTATAAGAAAACCTAAGGTCAAACATAGAAAGTCCAGGGGATTTTTGTATTTTTGGCTGTTGAACCAAATACAATAAAAAACGTAAAAAAATCCTTCTTAAACTCTTAAATTTATCTTAAATTAGCATATAAGCCCCTAAACTAAATACGATGCCAAAGTTATCCAACTCCTAGACTAGTGCAAAAAAACTCTTTATAACTACCGGCCATTTAACGTGGATGGAATCCATTTGGAAATGTTAATGTAGTGATGTAGGTGTTACTGTGAGTAAAAGTGTTTTTGAATTATTTTTCTCTTTTTTTTTTAGAAATTTCAAAATTGTAGCGAGATCCAAAAATCCTTCCACATCAACATCTAAAACAAACAAAAAGGAAGGGAACAAATAAAGTCAATCCCATCATTTGGATTGTTAGTCATAAAGGGCTTATTTGTACCAATAAAGGAGTTTGAGGCCTTATTTGCATTATTTTTAGTTTAAGGTTTAAATGCTAATTTGAGACAAATTTAGGGGATTAAGAAGCGTTTTTGCTTAAAAATAATAATTATTTGTTTTTGTTTTTGAGATTTTAAAAATGGATACTTCACTCCCCCTTTTTTCCGCCTTATCCAAAATGCATGTCTTTCTCCAAACCCCTCGTCTCTTCTCCTTCCCTAAACCTCTAAACCTCGTACCCAAAACCCAACCTTTCGACCACCATTTTCCATGCCTTCCTTCTCTTTCCAAACCCGTAAACCCCAAAAAATTCGCAGTTGAGTGCTTTAGCTCGGACGAGTTTCCCGTCGATGAGACTTTCCTCGAGAACTTTGGCCGAAAGGACAAAGAGACAGAGGATGAAGCTCGCCGTCGCAATTGGATCGAGCGGGGATGGGCACCTTGGGAGGAAATCCTTACCCCAGAAGCCAATTTCGCCAGAAAATCGCTCAACGAAGGGGAAGAAGTCCCTCTCCAGTCCCCTGAAGCAGTTGAAGCTTTCAAGATGTTGAAACCCTCATACAGGCTGAAGAAAATCAAAGAAATGGGCCTTACTGAAGATGAATGGTATCAGAAGCAGTTTGAGATCAAAGGGGAGATTCCAGAGCCACTGCAGACCCTGTGGACAGGGCCATTGGTGGTAAGACATGTGCCACCAAGAGATTGGCCTCCAAGGGGGTGGGAGGTGGATAAGGAGGAGCTGGAATTTATCAGGGAAGCGCATAAGTTGCTGGCAGTGAGGATGGATTTGGAGGAGCTTGAGAGGGAGGTGAGGACAGATGATAAGGATATGTGCTTGGACCGATATAAGATGTTCTTGAAGCAGTACAAAGAATGGGTAGCAGCAAATAAGGACAGGTTGGAAGAAGAATCTTATAAGGTTTGCTAGAGTGAATTTGTGTTTCTTTCTTTAGCATTTTGTTTCTGTTTGAAATCATGGCATATCTTTATATCGTGTTTTACAGTCTAACCTAAAGTGGAGACAGTGAATATAGAACAAAAGAAAAAATATTCTGAAACTTTACTGTTTGTTTTTTTTTTTTTTTTTTTTTTTTTTTTTTGGTAAGTTTAATCATTAGGGAGAAGTTTGTGTTGTGAAAAAGTTAGCTTGCATCTGATGATAGCTTAAGTTGTTAGCTTGTTACTTTTGTTGATGCAGTATGATCAAGATTATCATCCTGGGAGGAGAAAAAGAGGCAAGGACTATAAAGAAGGCTTGGTAAATAAATTCTCAGTTTTAATTGGTCCTTAGCTTCTCTCTCTCTCCCTCTCTCTCTCTCTCTAGTTCTTTCAAACATGGGAATGTAATTACTTTTGTTTCCCTGTTTTCTGCAGTATGAGCTTCCATTTTATTACCCAGGACAGGTAAATTTCAGGGTTTTAATTTTAAGTGAAATGTTTATAAACTTTGCTTTTGAAGTTTGTACTGGCTACAAACTTAATGAATTGCATGTGTACCACAACTCAACTTATTCTAGCTTTTTGATTTATAGACTGTTTTAGTAAAAGCAACATATTCTGTTTACGGTTGTAAGTGATAATGAGAAGTTGTGTGATGGGTGATGTCTTTGCAGATTTGTCAAGGAAAAGTGACCACTTTGCATCTATATCAAGGTGCATTTGTTGATATTGGCGGTGTATATGATGGGTAATTGTATTTGACAACCTTGTATACAATAGAATTTTTCTTTGGTGTATATCAAGGTGCATTTATTGATTTTCTAGAGCCAATGAACTTGAAATGTAGAAAGTTTAAGATCTGTTAGCAGTTAGGTGACTAATATTTGCAAAGTTCAAAGGTCAAGGATTTATGATATTATGGATCCTGGACTTTCCATGTCCAATTTAATAACCTATAGACATCAGTTTCTTAGATTGTCCATGATCTAACAAATAGTTAGTAGCTGATGTAACAGATGCTTCACTAAAAATTTTCTCCTAATTCAGTCTCCATGTGTTGTAGGTGGGTGCCAATCAAAGGCAATGATTGGTATTGGATCCGCCATCACATCAAAGTTGGTATGAATGTCATTGTTGAAATTTTGGTAAGCTTAACCTTTTATTTCTTCAGTTCCTTGTCACTATTTTTCTTCTTTTTTGTGGTGCTAAAAAGCTCAATCTATTGGTGCCATGTTCATTTTTGTTTAATGTGATTGATTTCACCATTTTGCAGGCGAAACGTGATCCTTATCGCTATAGATTTCCCATTGAAATGCGTTTTGTCAATCCTAACATAGACCACTTGATGTATGTAAATTTATACCATGTAGTTATTCTCTTTCCTCAAAAGTCTATGGTGGTATGAAATTGTGGTTGGTTTCTATTTCCTCTGATAAGAGTTTTTTATTGCTCTTTAGATGTATTTCTACTTGATTGCTTACAACAATTTTTGTGTTTCTACTTACAGCTTTAACAGATTTGAGTTTCCACCAATATTTCATCGCGATGAGGATACTAATCCAGATGAGTTACGGGTATGAAGTAAACCTGCATGTAAACTTCACTCTAGTCTATACCTTGATCTTTTCATTATATATATGTCCTCTCAACTAATTAAGTTTTGACCTTGCCTGATGGATTCAGAATAGTAGATACATTCTAGATTAACCTTAGGCATCTTGTCTTTAATTTCTTTTCTGAGGACAGTGGTTGTTCAGTGTTCCAGTCCACATTTATGGGCTGCTAGTTGCACTTATATCACAGTCTATGGTTTTGTTTGCTTTCTAGGCGATAAATCACTCATCAATTATTTTGATCCATCTTGTCTTTAATCTTAAAACTTTAGAAAACTTTAAATGAATCACTAAGTTTTCTAGGCCATGAATCACTCATCAATAATTTTGACAAATCTTTAAATTTTTTGCTAGCTATCTATATTGCCTTATCCATGCTTACTCCAGTGTCTGCAGTTTTTCCAGTCTACCTTCATATTTTGCTTAGGGGAGTGGGGAGAAATCTTATAGGATCTTAAACACTGGTGTTTTTGGCTATCAAACTGGAGTATAATCTTGAATGTCAGGGCATGTGACTTGAATAGCCCCCTTTCCCCTATTGTGATTTGTTTGTTGATTATGATTTTTATTATTTGAAATTTCTAGTCCAACCCTTGCTTCCCTTTTCAGCGTGATTCTGGAAGACCTCCTGTTCCTAGAAAAGATCCAGGGACAAAACCAGAGGAGGAGCCTTTGTTGTCAAATCACCCTTACGTTGATAAGGTAATTTTGCAGTGCTATCTTCCTTGAAATCCTGGCACTTTACATACAATGCCTTCTATATCACATGAAATTCATCTTTCACTTTCTTTTTATTTACCTGGTCTGCCATACCTTGTAGAAAATAATCTCTCAATTGTATTATGTATAGAATTTACAAGTATATAAACTCATGTTTAAATCTGAAATGACCTATATACCCTCAAAAAATAATACACTTTTTTTATCAGCGAAATCAAATTTTATTTGTATGTATATATTAAAAGGGAGTACAAAGGGTACTCCAACCCAAAAATCAGTCTCTGGACCTGTCCTGAAACAACATCAAAACACATGTATTGGGAGAAAAGGTGTAAATAAGGATATTAACTTTACACTTTTTTCTATTTAAGGATGTTAACTTTCAATTTTTTCTATTTAAGGATGTTAACTTTCAATTTTTTCTATTTAAGGATGTTGACTTTCAACTTTTTTTATTTAAGGATGTTGACTTTCAACTTTTTCTATTTAAGGATACCAACTTTAAACTTTTTCTTTTTAAGGATTAATTGGATAATAATGCTAATGTGGCAAATGAATTTTTTAATCGAAATGTTGAAAGTTAGCATCTTTAAATAGAAAAAATTGAAAGTTGACATCCTTAGATAGAAAAAGTTGAAAGTTGGCATCCTTATTTAGAAATTGACAAAGTTAACATCCTTAAATAGAAAAAATTATAAAGTTGACATCCTTATTTGCACCTTTACTCCGTGTATTGGAAATATACATAATATCAAAGACCCACATCCTATGATTAGTATACAGGGAAAAAGCTGAAACTTTTACTATTAGTGGTGGCACTATCTATATAATAATCCATTTTCAATATAAAAAATTGTAGTCCATTAGTTATTATACAACAATTCACAATTTATAAATACCCCCTCACAGATTCATCTTCTTCCCTTTCAAAAAGTTAAATGCTAAAACAGATTCATCTTCAGCAAATTTTTTCAAGCTATTTCTATGCCAGTTTAAGTTTTGTGATCTTGTTGTACTGATTGTCTATGTTTTCTTCTATGCCATTTTCTGTTGCACAGTTGTGGAATATACATGTTGCTGAACAAATGATTTTGGCCGATTTGGAGGCCAATCCTGAGAAATACAAAGGCAAAAAGTTATCTGAGTTGACTGATGAAGATGATTATAATGAAGAAAATAATGCTATACATACCAAAGCCTATTTCAAGAAAAGCTTACTACCAAAAATGATTCTGGTGAGCTGTTTTTCTTATCTAGTTCTTTAAATTTATACAGTGACATCTGCCTGATGAGGATTGTTTTTCTTTGTAGAAAACAAGTGTTAAAGACCTCGACTTGGAAGCTGCCTTAGCTGAGCGTGAGGTCACTATTTCATCCACTGTTTGTAATCTTTATTCTTTTGTTCTGGAAGCAATTCTGCAGAACCCATTGATCCATGGCAGTTCAAGTGAATATGAGACTGCCTTAGTAGGCCAGAAGTACCTTCACAATGATGTGTTTTCATCAATCTGTTGCTTCTGAAGACAGACAATTTAAGCCCAAGCGTTCCAATAGTTACAACAATAGGAAGTGATTCCAGCTTTAGTCATTAACTTCATTTTTCTTTTTTTTTGGCATGTGTTAACTGGTAAACAATGGGGCTACTAAGCAGATTTATGTAGGCTATGATTCTAGAAAATATTCAGGATATTTCTATTTTTCACTCATTTTCTGGATTTTAACCTTGTTTCTCATGCTTTGGATACAGCTCCACAATAAACTGAGTAGAGAAGCAAAAGAAAGAGGAGAAGAATACAAAATCACCAAGCTGAGGCGGAATATTGAAATGGATGAATATGATTTTATGCATTGGCGTCGATCATTTGAAGAAAGAGAAGCTTTGATCAGAGATATCAGCTGGTATGGTATACCTATTGGCATATTTGCCTATTTTCCTTGCTTTTTTATATTCTATGCTGTTTTGTGCTCCCATTTCAGGATGACTGCCTTCAAATCTTGCATGATAATGTAATTCAAGTTTCTATCATTATAAACATATTCAATTTATCAAGACTCCAACTGCCCCTAATTCAAGTTTCAATCATCATAAACATTTTCAATTTATCAAGACTCCAACTGAGGGGCAGTTTTCCACTATCCACCTTTTTTTTTTTCTTGGTATGTAAGGTACTAGGGATTTAATCCTAGATTTGTTGCTAAGAGCATAGGTAACTCTACCACTGGTGTTTTCTACTATACTAAAGAAGATATATATATATATATTTTAGACACTAAAGCAGAATTTTAAGTGAAACTAGACTTCAAGGTGTGGTTTGCACACTTTGTCTGTATTGAATTTGATTAAGTGTTTACAAATTATAAATTTTTGTATTAATAATTAACTAAAAATATCTATTAAATTATTCTTTTTGATAATTACTAATTTTAATTGTAATAATTCATAAAAAAATGAATGGTAAATATGAAAGATTCAAGCGTACAAATTTAATCTGTTTAATTTCGAAAAATAAGGATAAATTTTCATAAAAAGAACATCTAAAAATTTAGACTATAAGTAAATTCTGTTATTTTTTTTAATTAGTATTTTCTTATAAACCATCACTTAATATTTAGAATGTTGATAACAATAATGTCATGGTATTTAATCATGTTTTAGTACATTATTATAATTTTTTTTATCTTCTAATATATTATGGTTGTTTCTCTCCTCGTATCCCTTTTTTAAATACTTTCCATTTTGTAGTTCTTTATTAAAATATTGAACTAATAAGAAAAAAACATACAGCAAACTCACATTAATATTGATATCAATACCGACTACAACAAGAGGACCTGTTAACTCCTTCCCCGGAGCAATTGTATTCCATATATGATGAGTTCCATGTATGATAAGACGGAATACAATCCTAGGATAAGATCATCTTTTGATCAAATGGTTTGAGAATTAGGGTCCATCATTGCAGTCAAATAAACAAAACAAAAGAGAAATAAGGAACTGCTAAAAGCAATGAGAGTTGAGATTTATTGCAAACAAAGATCAATGGAATAGGCAAGATGAACAAAGGATATATATATAAATAGGTAGTGTAGAATAGGAAAATCAATTCTAGATGAATAAGATACAAGTCCTATTTAAGATTGCACTGTAGTAGTTAATGATAGTTATTGAGGATTTTTTAAAGCCCATTAGGTGTGTGTTTGAGAATTTTAGGGGGAATTTCATTCTTACAATAATTTTATATATAGTTAAGATAAGATGTAAGCAATACCAACATCTTTGAGAGGGAGAGGTAGGGCAAGGGGGAAGGAGGAAAGAGGAAGGATTTTTGGTAACATGTTTTCTGATTTGTCATTGTAGGCTATTCCATGTTAACATATTGACTGCAGATCTTGAATTCACATGCAGTAGAGACCAATTATTTCTGTTCCATATTTATGACTTTATCTTATGTACTTTATAGTTTACTGTTGTTTGCCTATGATATCAGACTGCACACTGACATATTTTACTTGGGCTCATTCCTGTTCATTATCTGATTGAAGAATTGTGTTCATAACCTGTCATTGCATTTAACTGAACTTTGTGAAGCACGGTGTGAACAACTTCCAGTTAGACTGAAGTTTGTCAAATATTTCATAAGATTATACCTATAATTCATTTTTGGTATGTAGAGACTTAAGGATTGAACCCTAGATATGTGACTAAGAGCACAAGCAACTCTACTGCCAAACCACATGGTTGATGCTATTATTAAGTATAATTCTTCTTGACCCATTTTGCATTTAATCTCATTTCACATGATAGCTATGATTGCTTGTTGAATTCTATGTCTAGTAGTATTGCTTTGTGTCTCAACTCCAACTAAACCAACACCATGATTTTTTTTACAGCCGACAAGCTCTTGGTTTGCCACTGGAAGAGCCAGGAAGATATAAAGATGCCAGTTTCTTTGGGAAGGATCAATATGACCCATCCAATCCCTTGTATCGATATGACTACTGGGGAGAACCAAAAACCTCAGAAAAGAGTAAGCAGGAGCGTGTGACAGATGCTCACAACAAGTCTATTGTGGGCAAGGGCACTGTATGGTACGAAATGTCTTACGAGGAAGCAATCAAGCAAAAACAGAGAGGAGAAGCCCGTTCTAAAGAAATGATGCAGAAGGAAACTGAAGAAGGAGGTTCAATGAGAAAAAAAGGGACGGATGGCGAGGATGAGGACGACGATGAAGATGATTTTGATTACAGCATTCTTAGCGGCCCCAGTGTTGAATTTGCAGATCAACCTCATATTAATGGGGCCGAATTTTCTAGCATATCAGATGAGGGTGTGTTTGACGGTTAATTGAAGTAGTAACGTCTGTGTTTCTTTTTCTTTTATGGTGTATATAGCAGTCTGGTAAAGGCATGTTTCTTCTTTAGAAAGCATTATTTTTTGAGGCCACTTTAAAAGGTATGGGTGGTTTGTATTGTAAGCCCATTTTCTAAAGTCAGGACGTGCTTGGAGAGGTTTCATGTTCTAGGAAAATGGAAGAAATAAGCACCAAGCTTGCTGATTAGGGTAAACATTTCGAAGGAAGCACGGTCCTGTTTTCTGAAATAAAGGTACTTCACACCTCCCAAAACCCTATGATTGGAATATATATATATATATATATAAAACAATAAACAAAATTTCTTTGCGAAAACCCTAATATGCTAATGCATCTGTTAATGGTCAATACCAATACCAACACAAATTTCCTTTATACATAAAAGAAGAGGAGAAAAAGAAAGCAAATACTGACACCTATCTCCCTTCAAACTCCAACAGCGGGTCCAATGTTCAACCCAGAATTCTTTATGGTCATGTTATAGTCGTCTCTTTCCCCGACACGCTGTAGCCCAAAAAGAACAGAGAAAAAACTCGTCAATCAATTTCTCCTAACTCTCTATCATTTGCAGGCTCTGGAAAGCTAAGGGGTGGTTCAGCATCCCCATTATCATCATCCTCTTCTTCCTCATCAGCCTTCATGTATAACCCTAGCTGTTCCAGGGGATTCCCTTGCAGTTTGAAGCTACCCAACCCGTTTTGAGAATGATCTGGGCTGGTTTCCTCATTGAAACTGGGCAAATGTTCATCATTGGTGGCCCTGAGCATTTCTAGATCTTCCATAAATTGACTATTCTCATTGATATCCACTGTCTTTTCCATCTGAAATTACCAGAATTTAACTCCCTCAGACTTCTTCTTCTTGCTACTAAAGGCACTCCTAACAAATAACAAACTGCACAAATTTACCTTTAGTAATGCCTGCCGTTGAGCTTCTCTCTCCTGTTCAATTTTCCTTCTGACCTCTTCTGCTTCAGCCTTTCTCTTGGCCTCTTCAGCAGCTTTGGCCTCTGCTTGAATTCGAGCTAAATCTGATAAAAGAGTTAATAGGAAGAATGAGCTTCAAATTTCCAAAACAGAATTCTTAACTCCATCTAAAAAAATCCACATCCAGTCCAGACAAAATTTAAAGTTAACAAATCTGAACCTTCTCTATGCCGCCTTTCTAGTTCTTCCTTCTCAATCCGTAGTTTCTCAGGATCTTGCTTCTCACCCTGCATTGTGTGTTGACCATTTGGTGGGTCAAAAATAAATTCTATCTGAAAACCCTCTATATCTCACATACACTATAGCCACTGTAACCCACCTTTTCAAGTGCCTTTTTCCGAGCTTTAAATATAGTTTCAGCAAAACGGTTCCTTAATAAAGCTGCACGATAACGCTTTTCTGGGGAGACTTGCCTCCCAGATGGAGCACTCTCCCCTACTATATTACAGCAATGTGGGTGAGATCATGCCACAAAAGTGACAGCAGGAAGTCTTCTTAAAAATTATGCTTACCCTCTTGATTGCCATCTGCTCCAGCAATTGGCTGACCCTGGGAATTCAGCTCAACTTGATTCAACTTGTTTAAAGATTCTGTACAAAAGGAGCGGAAAATTAGAACTTCCACTAAAAAATAGAAATAGAACTTTGGCTAATGAAAAAGACACTTTGAAGACACACATAATATATGAGCTGAGAAACTCACGGTTTCTAATATCAAGAACACCAGCATCACCCTTTTTCTGGTCCAAATTTTCTCCCGGAATCAAATTATCCTAACATAAAGGGAATATGTAAAAAACAATTAATAATCTAAATTTCACTGGTGCCCACATGGGGAGGAGTCATTAGAAGATAGAACTTGTCAAAACAGTTAATATACTAAATTTCACTTTTGGTAGAACTAACAGTAGCTGAAGCTTTAGCAGCATCAGATTCACTGCTGGATGAACTGCCAGAATCTGAATCTGCATGGAGAAATATAAAAGAGGAATCTAGGTTAGATGTTGATAAAAAAGCATAAAAAACTGCATTCATTCTGATATGTATTAGACCCACAATGAAAACAAAATGTGTACTCCCTCCATCCTAAAACAATTGTTGCTTTTTTGACATTTTCCACATGTTAAAAATTTGGACACTGAAAGAGACACCATTTGGCTCAACACTTATTAAAAAATTATTTTTTTTTATCTAAAATTAAATGCCAAAAAACATATGCAGCCATGCATCCAACATGTGGGAATTGGCCAAACCAGTTGCAACTATATTATATTTTAAAAGCTGAACAGATTGGATAAAGATGCGTGTTTTGATCCAGAGAGTGTCCAAATCATTTTTCTAAAAATTTTTATACAATTTTATGTTTTTGCCTATATTACACTTAAGAAAGAGATCAGAATGACGAGAAGATTTTGGTAATAAGGAGAATTAAAATTAAGCAATAACAAAAAAGATGTCTAGCTTAAAAATTGGACAAACAATGATAATTTGAACAAATTTCCAGTAAAAAAAAAAAAGTATTATTTTTGGGATGGAGGAAGCAAGTCACCAGACAAAATTCTCCACCAAAATAGAAAATAAATACATCATAAAATTGTCTATTGACATAACTCATGGGTTGCACATACAAAAATGAGTGTCCAAGTTCTACACAGTCATCATTCCAAAAGACGCCGAAATGAAGATAATTTAAAGCAACCACCCAAGTGCTTGCATATGCACACATAGGCAACAAGGCGAGGTACAAAACAATAAAAACCCCTCAAACTTTCCCAGGATATGCCCTCTACAAGGCACTTTCTTGTCATTGCCTAGGGAGCTAGGCTAAGGCATTCAAAACCTTTTTAAACTATCTCTTCTTATTCTTGTATTAGGGTTTTATTTGAAAACCTAACTCCTTTATGGGGTAGGATTTTAAATTAAAAGGGTTGTCTTTATTACTTTTTCATAAGTACAGTTAATAAGAGTCCTTTAAAAGCTTTAAAGCCAGAAAGATTACAGTTTAACAACAAAACAGAAGCAAAAGTCTTTAAAAAGTTACATAGAAGTGCTTTTATCTTGTTCAATTCAATTTTTTGCTTAGTTTAGGTGACCAAAACAGATCACATGTTCCTTATAGGAATAGTGGAAAACAGAAAACATGCATGTTGCTCTTCATCAATGTCAAAAACAGAGTACACATCATTCTGATTTTCAATGGAAACTGATGAAAATCAGGAGAATCGATAAGGTGCCTCAAATCACTTGGGAAAATGTTTTTTAATTTTTTGGCATCTTTTGACACCATTTTAAATAACCTTGAAGCCAGTTTGCAACAGGTAGAAAAAATCTGAAAAATAGGCCAGCAAAATGAAACTGTAAAACCCATTAATTAACAATCTACCTTAGCATATCTTCCAACTTTAGACAATGGCATGCTTACATACTCCAGTTTCATAAATTACCAAAGAAAACCAAGTTGAATAAAAACAAGGCTCAAGAAAACACAAACCACTCCTTGAAGAGCCTGATTCGCTACTCGAGCTACTTGAACTGATGCCTTTGTTGTTCCTATTGGCTGCATCCTTCTCTATCTCAACTGGAGGATAGCTTGAAATGGGACAATCATTTCCTCCAACAATATCTATATCCTCATCACCTTGGTCATTTCCTACAAAGAGAGAGATATAAGCTTCCACATTGCAATAGTTCACCATGCATTGACCATACCTTTATCAGCTTGTTAGACTGAATCCCCCTAGCATTGAACAGATATTGACTAGATAAAATACCTTTACAAGGTGGAATAGATGAGTTGCTAAACCCTGATTCATTAAGAAGCTGCAGCAAGGAAAAGGATAGCAGATTCAGAGATATTATTATAATTATTATACACTGGATGTTCAGAACACTTTGAAGAAGAAAAAAAAAATAGAGAAAAGGAGAAGATAAGGATAGATACCTCCATTTCACAAGGTTCAGCTTTTGCCTTTTTTTTTTCTAGCAAAAAATCATCTAAAAGTTCTCGTAATTTGAACAGTGTTTCATCATTGAGAGCATAAATATCAATCTCAATTTCTTCCCCATCAGTCAACCCTTCACTAAAACTGTGCTCTTTGAGAAAATCAACTATATTTTCAGGGAATTCTGTCAAAGCCTCCAACTCTGTGCTCAAATTATGCTTCTCCTGATCAGTCATGATCTGCTTAACAGGCTCCGACTTGATCTTAGTGTCATTTGGGTTTATTTTTTTCATCTTGGAGGATAAAAAATTGATATCAGTTTCATTTTCTATATATACACTGGCTCTTGAAGGCACTGTTATGGTATCAATGTTTACTGGAAGCTTCTTTTCTATAGATTTCCATCTGACTTCAAAAAATTTACTGAGTGTCTGCGCCATAACATGAACATTGTTTCCAGGTGGGTTGTAAGTCGTTGCATTGGAGAAAGTAAGCCGGACATCAGCAGCAAATCCCAATGGACTTGAATACTGACCTGAAACTATCTTGTTCTTAATTGTGCCCAAATCCATAGGATGCTTTATGACTGTGACATAATCTGGAATATTCAATTTTACCACATCAACAGGAGTGTTGAAAACCCAACCACACTGATGTTGCATCAATCGATTGAGCAAAGTCTCACATTGCTTCATCAACACAGCATTTGAAGTATTTGCTGGCACAGCTGGCTTCACAGGTTCAAAACGCCCAGATATATTCTTTTTTGTGCGGGCACTATTACGCCCTGGAGGCAGCCGTTTCTTTCCTTGTGAACCCACTATTTCAGAAGACCTGTGGAAACTCTCTATTGGGATCCTCTTCTGTCCATCATTGCAACTGCGTATGTCACTAGAGGGTGACAAAACAACATTTGAACTAAGAGAAGCAATTTTATTCTGTAGCAACCGAACTTGTTCAAGCTCCATCTTCAATCTCATTTCCAAATTCTTCCTCTCAATATGCGACATCTTTGAGAAAGACAATACTTGAACTGGAACACCATAACCATCACAGCTTTCAGCATTCAAACTAATGCATTTCCTTTTGGGAGCAGATGAATCCTCTGATGCCGTCATCTCTGTATCAACCCGTCCAGAGCTCCCAAGCCCCTCAGATTCACCCATGGTCTCAGCTGCACGCCGGTAATCTGGAACAAAACCAGAAGAATGCCCCTTAGAGTACTTCCGAGATTTCCCCATTTTTTGTGAAAACTGACACTTTCTGGACTCTTTTTGCCTTGTGAACTCTATGGGAACAGCTGGTGCCATAACATTAACTTCCAATAACTGTACATATCAACTCTTCCAGTGAGTTTTATTTCCTCTAATCTGCCTTCTCAAAACTGAGAGACACAAATATTTCTCTGGAAATATGTAGCTTTATTGCAAAAATAAATAAATATATCAATTCCAAAGATTACAGCTATCCAATTATTCAGGCTCCTTCCAGCTCATAAATGGGGTTAAAACTAGAATGATGGCCAAAGCACTTGCGATTCCTCCCTCTTTCAAAACTTTAAACTGTCGACCATACACTCGGTCACCGTAACTCTGAGGGGCAAAACCAACCTCAAATTCATACCAATGTGAATAAAACCTATTGTATAACCCTAACAATGTAAATAAAGAATAAATATGAATCAACGCCAAGAGCGAGATAACTCCACCGATTCCCAATCAACGCGAAATCAAAAACCCTAAGAAATTTCCCCCTAATTTGCCGCTGAAAAACTCCAAATCAATATCGTCCCCCAGTCTGAATTAAAAACTAGAGAAAATCCCGAACGAAATAGGGTTATTAAAGAAAGAATTGACGAAGCAGATAACAAGGATCAATACTTACGAGCAAAAAAATGAAAACATTATGCTCGTTGGAGCAAATTTCTCACAAATGGGACCAAAATGCGGCTCCAAACCCATAAATCCGCTCCGCCAGAATCCAATTTAAAACCTGGATCTCGCAGAAACCCTAGAGAGAAGAAGACGAAGAACCCTCGAGAGGCGACAACAGCGACAGCGAGCTAAGAGGAAAAAGGAGATGGCTGGGTCTAGTCTGGGCTTAACTTCACCTGTACTTAAAGGCCCAATGGCCTCCTTCCCCGCCGGGATTGAACTAATCCCATCCGTTGATTTATGTTTCCTGGACAATCAGATCTAACGGCTGTAAAGGCAGTCAAGGTTGGCTGTCCGTACGGAAAAAATCGTGATGACATCAAAATGGGTTTATTTAAATTAATGTCTTGAAGGAAGCAGCGCGCCGAACTATAATAAATATATTTTTTTATACAATAAGTTGTATAAAAATTTATTTTGATAATATATTATTGGAATAACGTTTATTTATTTTATTTTTTAAAAATTATGAAAAATATTATTTTAAAATTATATTATTTTAATAAATATTTCTTTAAAAAATTAAAATATTTTATTTTTAAAGTATAAATTAAATATTTTTTACTCTTTTTTTTAATTTTTTAGAGTTAAAACGAATAAATACTAATTTTATATATTATTATAATTAATATTATTTATATAAATTTAATTTTTAAATAAAAAATTTCTTTTAATATATAAAATTTTTATATTGATATTATTTTATTTTATTTATAATTAAATATTTTAACTAAAATATTTTTAAAAAAATTTAATAAAAAATTAGAAATAGCTGTTTTGGATTGCAATATCTAACAGCTGCCTTTAAATCTGCACTGCTTGATATCGTATTAAGCCGTGCAAAAATTTTTAAATTCTTTTTCTCTTTCAAAAAAAAAAAGGAGAGCTAAGCTTAATGCAATTGAGCCCGACTCTCTTGTTTTTCTTTTTTTCTTTTTTTCTCTAACGAACCAATTTTGAAAAGTTTTGTGTTATCTTCGTAAAAGAACATGATATTGAGCATGTGTTGTACATACTCTTTAAGAAAATAAAAAAATATGATGGTATTAATTTTAACACTTATGTTAAATGCACATTTTTAATTAAATAATTAATAAAATTAACATTTCTTTCAATTAATTTTAATAAATTTAATTTGTAATTTAGGCCTTTAAATTTAATTATCTATTTTTTTCTAAAATTTTATTTAATACATTTATTTTTATTTTATTCTTATTCTACAAAGATAATTACAATGTATTATTCTCTCTTCCTTTGGCATTGTTAGATCTAACTTTTAATTTGTAGCGTTTAAATTTAATTATTCATTTTTAAAATGTCATTAAATGTATTAATTTTTATTTTACTCTTATTATAAAAATACAATTATAACATATATTAAATAAGAAGATTTATTTAAGTATTGATTAATTTGGATACGCATAAAATTTTATTAATTAATTATTACATTCCTAATTTATTGGGGAAAGAACTAAGTTTGATAAAGTTGAATAGATAGAGTATTAAATAAGAAGGTTTAAATAATGATTAATTAGGTATAAATATAAAATTTTATTACATACCTAATTTATTGAAGAAAAAAACTAAGTTTGATAAGATTGAATAGAGAGAGTATTAAATAAGAATGCTTAAGTAATAATCAATTAGGTATAAATATAAAATTTTATTACATCTATATTTCCAGTATTGAGAAAAAAACACTGAGTATGAACTCTTTTTCTTTTTTTTTTTTTGGTTATCGTAGCATACAAAATAGGAAATAATAATTGAATAATAATTATTTCATTTTGTTCTAAAAAAGAGGAAGTTGACTTACTTATATTTTAAGGGAGTATTTAGAATTATAGTTGTGGTTGTTTTTATATAGTTATTGTATAATATTTTTAAATATACTATATTTGATAATTTTTTAAAATTTTCTTTTTAAAAGTTATAAAAATCGATAGTACATCCATAGTAACTTTATATACGAAGCTTTAAGTCTCATTTTTAAAGATTTTTTATTGTGTTTTTATAAATAAAAATGGCAACGGTCGCCAAAAGGATGGGAACCTCTTCTTCATCCTTATCTTTGCTAATGGTGGGTACTAGAATTCCCGCGAGAAGTTTTGGTAAGTGGCAAAAAATACCCTATGCCCTCATTCCTATGGACAAAAATAATACTAATGTCAAATCTACTGTTAAGTAAGCATCAAAAAATAATTT